AATGCGGATATCTGTTTAAAACACAGATTCATTTACTTTGGATATATATCCAGCAATTGCACTGCTGGATCATATGGCAGTTTCAGCTTTTATTTTTCATGAGTCTTTATACTGTTTTTCGTCATGACTATATTAATTTACAACCTCATTTTGGTAGCTTTATTTTAAACACACAGATTTCATTTACTCAAGTCTACTTAAAGACTATTTTGCTATCATTATTCTGAAAGGACAATGAATCTCACTTGCCTCCATAGAAGGTAAACATAAAAGCAAATAAAACAATGCTATTAAATTCTAGCTATATATTGAAGTATATCAAAAACTCTAAGCTGAAGTCTGTTCCCTCTTTGTAAAAACAAACAGAAAAATAGAATTCTCCAGGTGTTGGATGGATTACAGGCATATTAGTACTTAGATTTCCACCTTCAGAAGGTCTGAACAAGAATAACTTGCTTAGTTTGTGCTTCACTGCTATTTAAGGCCACTACTTGCATCTTGAATCATCTCAGCCTGCTTCCCATGCCTTGTGAGGGCCATAAGGAGATAAAGGAAAGGAGCACTGTTCTCTTAACGATGACAGTCTTGTTTTCAAAGGTGCACTATGGGCATGGCTTGCATATTTTCAATGGCACACAATATTCTACTTGCTGATTAATGTCAACTCCCACTCGGAAGCTCAAGAGGCATTTTAGCCTTTATCTCTAAATTTGGTTTTCAAAGAGGAGAAATAACATCACATTTGGCTGTATACTATGACATCTTCCACAGTATAAATTAGCAATGGAACCGTTAAAATTAGCAACAGCACTGTGGGATAAGCTTTTCCCAAATCTACCTGAATCAGGTAAAAACAAAAATCAAGAGAACCATCTAAATAAAGACATAAAAATTTTAAGAAATCTTTTCAAAATTTAAAAGAGTGACCTGTGTTTATTTTCAGCCAACAGAAATAGTAGCTCTCTGTATTATCCTCTTTGTAGGGAAGAAATTTAAGCCTGGCAGGGTAGCTGAGGGTGATGCATCTAAGAATGAACACAAATTAATAAACAGATGAAGAACAGGTTGGTGTATTCTCTAGGCCACTTTCCAAATGATGTTAAAGCTCAAAACTTGCACTACATAATCTGGTTTTTAAAAAAAGCAGAAAAGAAATTCATGCCTATACATGTAATATGAATTGCTCTAGTAATATTCTAAAACTACTTTGCAATTTACTTATTACTTTTAAACATACTCTTATTCTCAATATCTCACTGAAAATGTTATATACTTAATAAGAAGGAGACATTACACACCTCAGGGTCTTCTATTAGGAAATGTAATTCATAGTAAAAAAATCTATAGAATTAAACAACTCCACTAATCAGTCTATATTTTCCATTTCATTTAGTCAGCAAATATTTAAGTGGCTAGTGTGTGTCAGCTATTGTTCTAGGCACATAGTCTGATAGCAGCATGGCTGACCATAATAGATAAAAACATCTACCCTTTTGGAAATTACAGTCCAGAATCCTTTGGGCCTATATTGAATTACAGCATGAAACATGATGTCTCCATTTTTAAGGAAATTATTTTTATTTTATTATTGTGATTTGAACTTAAAAGAATATGAAAACATCATTGTCTTATTCTTTAGTGATTCTGTTTGTACATTCATCCTTGAGAGTGTAATGGGGGAAAAAAGCAGCAAAAAGAAACAGCATTCTCTTTGGTCCTGTAGATTTCCCTTTGTTCTTTTATTTTCACTGAAAAAACTGAACCATGCCTTAATGCGTTTTGATGTCCCAAGGACCCAGCCTCAAACCTGAAACTGGCACTCAAAAAGCTGTATTGAATAAGTGAATAACTTCAAGACATAGGTATTCACAGTAAAATGAAACCGGGAAAAAACACCACTAATGCTTTGATTTTGGGGGAAGGCAGTACTGTAGACTGAATTCAGGGCCCCTTACATGCTGCACAAGCACTCTACCACTAAGCTATACCCTTAACCCTTTTTTATTTTGAGACAGGGTCTCACCAAATTGCCCAGGCTAACCTGGAATCTGTAATTCTCCTGTCTCAGCCTCCAAAGTAGCTGCGAGTACAGGCATGTATTGTCACATCCGCATGCATGAATGTTTAATAACAGACATTCAAATGATCGGAATAAGAATTATTTGTATTGCAAATAATTATATACAATAAGAACTATTGTATTTTCTTGGATTCCTCCAAGAAAAAACTGTAAAACCCTGACACTGATCTGTAACAGAGAGCCTTCTGAGAATACTCGGACACCAGTAATTGTTACCTTAAAAGAATAGATCATACATCTCTTCTTTTTCCCTTAACAAATCACTAGGGCCTGGGAGTGAGACAAGACTGTGGTGGGGGTAGGCAGTATTCAGGGATGTCTTGGTTGAGGAAAAGCTGCAAGGTGCCAAGTAAGGACCAGTGCTCCTCTGAGTTGGCTCACATACAGGCGAATGCCTCAAGTCTTTTGCAGCACTCGTGTAGACCACAGGGTTGTCATACAGGCACAGAACTGGGTGCCTAGAAGCTTAACATTTTATCTCTGCTTCATTTTCCTTCCTCCCACCACCTCCCCCAGTACCACAGGGCATTTAAGCAAAGCAAAGTGTGCCAAAAATGCCATTCTTAATGTGGGAATAATACACTATCTAAATGTGCCCAGAAAACAAACAAGGAGAGATTTCAGCGTGTAACTGTGGAAAGAAACCACTAGTTACAATTCGGAAGAGAGTCTGCCCTGACACATTTCCTTTCAGCACCACACTCGGCCAGACACACACACACATCCACCAGCTCTGGGAGAGGATTTACTGCCTGTCTCTCCCAATTCTGGGAGCAATACCAACAGTGCAGGTAAGACCACTCATTTTGTGACTCATGAACCACCAAACATCTTATGGAAGAAAGTTCTTTTTCTCTAGCTGTTCAGATCCAACAGTGTCTTGCAAATCGTCAAGACTCCAGAGAGGAAGTGGAAGAATTTTGCAAATTTCATTGTCTGAGTATTCATTAGTTCCACCTTCTGCAATCAGCCAGGAAACTGCCTAATTTTTACTGTATTATAACAACTCTAACTTTAGCTTCAGGACAACAGGACCCATAGCAGCAAAACCCACCTGGTGATTAGGGAGGCTAAGAGGAACTTCCACACGTTATTTCTTCACTTGAAGAATTTGGAGAAATAAGCCTACTTGTTCACTTGAAATATCAACTCAGCTTATTCCAGGCAGACCCTGTCGCTGAGATTGAAGAGATCTAACTTTAGTGACGTACACGCCATCGTGACATTACTCATTCGAATAACGTTTTTTTTTTTTTTTTTGCTGAGAAAAAAAGATAGTGCTTTAACAAGAATTTTTTTCTTTTGCTATTACCATCATCCCATCCATTGCTGCAACATAAAGATGTGGCTTTAAGAATTTCCCGTCTCAAAGAAGGCCTTGTATCCACATCGGTGAAGTAGGCACGCGCTGGGAGGCCAGCCAGAATGTGGGAATGGCCTCCTATATAAAACTGCATTTTGTATGTATGCGCAAGTACCAGTCTACCTGTATTGTAGTTTGTATTAACTAATGCTCTCCTTCAAGAACACAATCTTAGATCTTCAAGCCTTTCATTTTTTCATTTCTTTAAAAAAATGAAAAATAGACTTTAAAGCACTGCTTTAAATTTCTAGCAATAGTTCCAGTACATTTTTTACTGTACATGTTTTAATACTTAACATGTTTTAATACTTTCTCTGGCTAGGAAAGTTTATGTAAACCAAACTCCAACATTCTTCATTGTCTTGGGTAATATCAAGCCGGGGCTAGCGCCATCCTTTAATACAGCAGGAAAACAGGAAACTTTAACCGAAAAATAACAGGCAGGTGTCACGGGAGTGAGAGGATTGGAATTAAATTACCAGGCGCGTGAGAAAGTCAATTGTCAAAACTGCCACCTACGGTTTCTTTCGCCCTCAACACCCCCGACTCTTCCAAAACCAGACGGAGGTGGGAGGGCGCGAGCTCGGGTCTTCCAGCCGCGCACCTGCCGCCCCTCCCTTGCCGCCCGCCCGCCCGCCCGCCCGCGCTGCACCTGGCCGCCCACCTGGCCGCCCCAGCCGGCGGGGGTGGGGCCAGCCGGGCGCCCCGAGGGGTGGGCCGGCACGCTTTTCTTTTTTTTTGTTCTTTTTTCTCAGCCTCCTGAGACATGGAGGACTATGCGAGGAGTACTCTTTGACATACTATATTGGGAACCTCGCATACAATTCTTTTTAATCGGAAACCGAAGCAGGCCCGAGGCTGCGCCCCCTCCCCGCCCCGCCCCGCCCCGCCCGCGATGCACTGGCGGACACGCGCGCGCCGCCCTCGCCCCGCGCCCACTTGGTCCCTCCCGGCCGCCGTGGGAATGGCCGCCCTCGGGAGCCCGCTGAGGGGGGGCGGGAGAGGCCGAGCCCCGGCCGGGCGGCCACCGCCCCCGCCCCCGTCCCGCCCGCGGCCCACGCCGGGATCTGCGTCACTCAGCCGCGCGTGGGCGGGAGCCAGAGCGGCGAATGTAGCAAGAGCGGAATCTCCCAATGTGACAGCGCGGGGGGGGGGCGGGGGCGGCGGAGGCGGAGGGGGAGGGGAGGGCGCAGCGCGCGGAGGGCGGGAGAGGGAGGCGGGGGCGGGCCGAGGGGGAGGGGGAGGGGAGGCGCCGCTGCCCGCGCGCCCGCTCGCTCCAACCCGGAGTCGCCGTCGCCGCCACCGCCGCCGCCGTCGCGGCCGAGCCAGCCAGCCAGCGCCGTCGGGGCGGCCGGGCGGGAAGCCGCGGCGGCCGGGCCGGGGGAGCCGGGAGCTTGCGCCCACCGCTGTCCCTCCCCCTCGATGGGAGCGGGGGCGTCCCGGCCGCGGCTGCCGCCTGAGGAGGGAGCACCGGGGGCCGGCTCCGGGGAGTCGGGGCCGAGCCGTCCTCGGGGGAGCGCGCGCTTACATCGCTGCCGCCGCAGGCCGCGTACGTACCGGGGACGTCCGCCGCGGGGCCGCGGCTGCGGGGCGCGTTCGCGGCGTCGTCCTGGGGGGCTCGGGCGCGAGCGAGCGGGCGGGCGCGGGGCTCGGGGCGCTAGGCGCGCGTCCCTCGGAAGGAGCCCGGCGCCCGGGGTCGGGCGGGGTAGTGCGGGGCGGGTGGGCGCGAGCCGGCCACGGGGCTCACTGCCGCCGCCGCCTGCGGGAACCCAGGGCTTTGTGTGTGTTTACTTTATCCAAGTGCTGCACTTACAGTCTTCCCTTTCTTCCTGGGTATCCTCTTTTTCCCCAGTATAGTTTTCTTTTTAAAAGCGGAAGGAGAGAGTTATGCTTGGAAGTGGCTTTCAGAAACTTGGCTCCGAGGTGCAGGCAAGCCAGACACGCACGGTGCCTAAGGCCGAGAGAGGAATTTACAAAACATGTGGGACGCGTAGCATTGCGTGCAGATGTGTGCGTCCTGGTGGAGAGAAACCTTAGAGTACTGTCAGATATTTGTGATCCGCGAGATAGGAAGGGACCCTGAGCAAGATGTTGCAGGATCTTGGGAGGAAAGGATGGTTGGGTTGGAGTAAGCATTCTGCAGACCGAGTTTTGCAGCAAGTGATCAGGAGGAACCATAGATTTGCATATGCTTACCCCTCGCTCCCGGGGGTTCAAGAAGGTGGAAGATTTTAGGGGTCCCCATTAATTTACAGTTTCATGGGAGTGAACCGGTGTGGAATAACTTGTCAGTCACAGATGGTTTGCCAGTGATGTGTCTGCCAACTCTAAGGAGTGCAAAGATCAAAAAGCTCAGAGGGAAATTCTCAAATATTTAAAAATATTTTGGCAGTTTATTAGATTGCATAGTAACAGAGCAACCAAATTTAAAATAGATTAGTCACGAAATGCTTAGCTGTTTGGTTAGAAAAGTGCTTTTGCAGTGAATTACCTTCCTGGGTTTTCACTTCTTGAAATCTTTTTCTTGTATATTATAGCCAGTTATGATATTTTATAATTTATGTGTGCTTCAAGAAGAAATGCTGGAAAGGGAATGCATAGGATATGCTTTCTCTGTTCAGCGTGGCGGCTGCCCTGAATACCACAAAGAGCTAATTCTGTTCCAATCTAAGTGATTGTAAAAAAAAAAGTGTTTCTTAGATTTAAGGGTATTTCTTTTCTCCTTAATTGTATCAAGACATTGAATAGTATTTTTTCATTAAGGTTAAAATATTTGTCCTGACAGATAGTAAGATCCAAATAAGGGTTCTGTTGAGAATTTGTAGACGACTGACAACATCATTCTTTATTCCTGTTCTGGGTATTAGATATTGGAACATAGGGTCTTTAAAAAAAAAATTTCAAAGGACCTTTTAATTTTTGTCATTTTTCAGTAAAGCTAATATTCCATGCTGTTATTGGAATTACTTTGTTTTTCCTGCCTCTGGTGATTTCTGTAATACATGAATGTATCAGTAATAAAAAACAATGAGACAAAAAAAAAAAAACAATGAGGTGCTGTAGGTTTTTTCATTCTGTTAACTATGTAATTCAGATGACAGAAGTCTTTAGGAATATGTCAAACGATTCTTACACTACTTTCTTATTTTACTTCAAGATTATCAGTACAATTGTATAATCTTAGCTAAAATAAAAATGTTCTGTTATCAGTAACATGTACTACCCTAGAGAAAAGTTAGATTTTGTGCCCTCCAGAGTCAGATAAAGCATTAGCTATTATTCTTTAATCACATTTCAAGAACATATGGGTTTATTATTAAAGTTGTGGGGTTTTACATTGTTGATGCTTTGAAAAGAGAAATCATAAAGTAGGGGAGACCTTTGAAAAATTTGATACATGAACTTTAAATTTTAAAGGTGATTAAATGGAAACAGAACTATGTCAGGCTTTTTGTGTTGGTTGATTAGAATCTGTCCTAAGAGGTAGGCCTCATCTAATCCATTATAATAAGCCTGTGGTTATTTTGTTGTTGCTATTTTATATACATTTTTGGAAATAAAAGATCTGTAAAATTCAATGAAGCTATGTTCTGGATACTGCAGAACCATCATATATTACTTGCATGGAAGTTTTAAGCTAATGTGTAGTCACCTTGTCTATACATGTTTCATTGTGGAATTTATTAAATACATTAAAGAATAAATACCCATTGAGCATTATGTAGGATTGCTAGCTCCTTTGCTTTGGGTTTTTTACTTTACCTGCTTTCATTACTTTGAGCAGAAGGAAGAATAGTACATTTATTCTATTAAATATAAATTTCCTTTCCAATCTGTTCAATGACATACAATAGTAGAAGGTTCCTTACACTTAATCGAACAAGTGGGAAACTAAATTGATTCTGAGAAAAGTATTAATCCTCATCTTGGAGAATTCTCACAGCTAAAACTTACCAATAAGCTTTCAAATAATTTGTCATTTCTCAATATGTCATACTGTATTTAGGTGCTGCATGTTAATTTGTATTGTATATTAATGACCTTTACAGAGAAATTTCTAAAAGGTGATAAAATTTACTTATACTGCCTACATAATCTACTCAGAGTGCTCTTACTGCCCGTTGGATGACTTGACTTTTGATTGATTGATAATTTTCCAGCCATTTCATGAAAAGCTAGTACTTGACTGTTATAAGTTAGGGCATAGTTATTGATTAACAGCAAAATAAAGTTTTTTTCTAATTTTGAGAAGTGCATTTAAATTTACCTATGGAATATTGTTAATTTTAAGGTGCTCTGTAAATTTTTCCAGCTTCTCTCAGAGTTTAGAAAAGAATTGAAAACATTTCAAGTTTCCCAAATTACCGTTTCATTAGAAACTACATATTTAAGTTATCTCTTTAACAGTAATAAGGCCCAATAGTGTGTTGGCTTAACTTATATCTTTACATGCTTAATGATAAATGCAGCTCGACAAACCTTTTGGAACTTGAGGTTAAATAGGGACTTAAGTTTCAGGACAACCCTGAAAATTTAAGTATGAAATGTAAATAACTTACCCTTAATCATTTAACTTGAGTTCTCAATTCTAGGTCTAGGGTGGGCTAAGAATTAGTTCTTAGAGGCGCATACTTTCCTAAGCCAAATTCTGACGTTTATAGACCTTTTCCATTTCCACCTGTAGTGGGCTCCCTCCTCACTTCCCCCAGAGCCCTCTACCACATGGGGGAAAATATTGAATAGTGATTGAGTCCACTTGAATATAATGATTTATATGTTAGATTTTTTATTTGGGAGTAATTGATATTGCACTTAATTTTTAGAAAGAGACGAAAAAGACCTAGAATCAGTTGTGATTGAACTTGAGTTCTTAAAAATGCTGGTCTTAGGGCTGGACTCCTACAGTATGTATTACAACATGAATCATGGGTAGTTTCTCTACGTGGGAATGCATCCTTTGATCTCTTGGAAAACATTCATGATATGAGAGTGTATCATATGGTCTACCAAGAAGGACAAAGCACTAAGGTTAAGAAGATGGCAGGTTTTGTACGTAAAGTTAAAGGAAGCAAAAACGTGCCCTTACTAGATGGGCATTTCCCGGGGTCACCAATTTACCCCCGTGTTCTTTCTGCAAGACAGAACATTGGGTTTTATTTTAAACATTAGGTTTCACTAACCAGTGGCCTTTATAGAGATGTTGGTCCATAGAGGACATTTTGCTAGTAATGAAGATTAGTAAAAGACTAATGAGACCTAATCCCTGTCCTCGGGGTGTGTGTAACCTAACAGGAACTTGTTCCGCAGAGCCAGGTTAAGTCATCATCTTTGCTCTGTGGCTCCTTTTGTGTATGGTGCTGTCGCCTTTATCACAGCTTACACGTGTGCTTTCTCCTTCCTGATTCTTCGTGAGGGACCGTGTTTCCTGTATATCCCTAGAACTGGCCTGCTAGGTTTGAGAGAATGGGAAGGGAGGTGAGGGGAGAGGAGAGCTGAGAGGAGAGGGAAGGTTTTGGGGGGGGGGGGTTCGGAGGAGAGAGCAGCTGTGCGGGAGGTGTGGAAAGGCCATGTGGGGAAGGTCGGGGAGGCTGGCAAGGGAAGGGGAGGCTGGCAAGGGAAAGGCAGGCTGAGGAGGACACGGGCCAGCCTGCTGGAGAGGTGGGGCTGGGTGGGGGACGCCCGTGTGAGTGGTTTGGGTTTCTTTGTCTCAGGGGTGGGGAGATTTGCAAGATGAGAGAGAGAAGGGTCCTGCCTGTCCTTTAGGAAGATAAAGTTAGCATTGCGGTCCGGGATGCATTGAAGGTGAGGAAAGTATTTTCAAAGTTTAGTCAAGAAGCTGTGAAAACCAAAATTAGGAGCTTTTGAGACAGAAAGCAGGTGATGGTGGCCTAAGGATATCTAAATTTGAGGGAAGAGGAAGAAAAGCAGTGAACTCCACTCTTATTAAACCAGAGAGCTACAAAAGTAGTGGTAGAGACCTGAGGTGGTTGAGGAGTCGCTTTGGGAATCTGGCAGAGGAGAAGTTGTGCTTGCTTTTGGATGGACAGCAGTTGAGGTTTTGGCAGTCCCCAAATGGAATGCCAGACTGGACTCAGAGTGAGTTGGGCTGATGGTTCTCAAATTTTTCGGGAATAAGGGTCACTTCTTCAACTTACTGGTGTAGATTTGGAGGTTACTGCCTACAGTCATAATTGATGCTGGGAGGAGCAAGGATCAAAGGACAATATGGACAGAGTAAAAAAGCGATCTAGTGTCAGACGTTGGAAGCTGGATTCAGTGGTTCATTCCTGTAGTCTCAGCACTTGAGAGGCTGAGGCAGGACGGTCACTTAGACCCAGGAGTATCAGTTGAACTTGGGAGTTGAAGACCAGCCTGAGCAAAATAGTGAGATCCACACCTCCAAAAACACCCGCAAATAGGAAAACCTTGGGAGATTTGTGCACTTTGGCTATAATAAGGAAGGTAGGCAAAATAAAATATCATATTACCCAAGTCAAATGAAGACCATTTCAAGGAATGGGGATATGTAGCTGAAACAGTGAAAGCCCAGTGCCTCTCAGTAGTTGAGGTTTTTGATGAGTGTTAGGGGGCCAGAGAGGCTGGGTGGAAGCAGGTATGAAGAAATGATACTTCTTTTCCCTAGTGCCTGCAAAGGCCTGTGTCCTACCCGAAGTGGTAACTCAGTAGTTCCGTAAGATTTTTCTTGGACGTTAGGGCAGCAGGTGGGGGGGGAGGGGATGCTGGATAAAGGCAGATTTGAAGGAATGATTCTTTT